GCTGTGCGCGGGCTTTCTCTAGTTGCGGCGAGCAGGGGCTAGTCTTCGTTGTGGTGCGTGTGCTTCTCATTGTGGTGGCTTTTCTTGTTGGGAGCACGGACTCTAGGTGCGTGGGCTTCAGTAGTTGTGGCACGTGGGCTCAGTAGTTGTGGCTCGCAGGCTCTAGAGTGCAGGCTTAGTAGTTGTGGCGCACGGGCCTAGTTGCTCCACGGCATGTGGGATCTTCCCGTACCAGGGCTCGAACCCGTGTCCCCTGCATTGGCAGGTGGATTCTCAACCACTGTGCCACCACGGATGTCCCATCATTTTGGTTTTGTGCCATAAGCACAAAAAATTTTTTTTTCAGTTCAAAAACTCAATTGCAGTGCTTAAAATTATACACATAATTTTTCAAGATTGTGAACCAGTGTTCCACTGTACCTTACTGAAACGTCTATAGTGTGTCTGCTTTGTACTAGACATTGTTTTAAATTTTTGGTATACAGTAGTGAACAAAACAAAGAGCCTTGACCTCGCGAACATCAAGAGAGGGAGACAGAAAATAAACAATAATTATAATAAACAAGCAAAGGATATATCAGAAGTTAATCGGTGCTATGACAAAGAAAATGATAAGGAAGAGAACAGTAAGGTGGACGTGGGTGCCAGAATTGGGGGTATCGGTTTGCAATTTTTATTAGGATAATCAGGGAAGAGCTTATGGAGAAGGTGATACATGACCAAAGTCAATAAGAAGGTGAAAGTGTGAGCCACGTGGAGATGGGAGGGGACAGGGACTGTCCTGGCACAGGATTTAAAGCAAGTGTGTATCCAGCCAGTGCATGGAGCAGGAAACTAATGTGGAGTAAAGCAGAAAGGTGTAAAAGACTGTGAGGACTTTGACTTTGACTCTGGGACGATGAGGCCATTGCAGTTGGATTTTGTATAGAAGACATACTCCAAATCTATGTGTGTATTACTTTTCTACTGCTATGTAAAAGCTATCATAAATGTATGGCTTAAAACAACACACACCAATTATTTCACATTTTTAGTGGATTAGGAGTTTGGTCATGGCTTAACTGAGTTGCCTGCCTCAAGATGTTACAAAGTTGTGCTCAAGTCGTCAGTCAGGACTGAAGTCTCAACAGAGACTCTACTGAGGAAAAAGATGCTTCAAAACTCATTCAGGTTATTGCTAGAATTTATCTTCTTGTGGTTGTAGGACCGAAGGCTTTAGTTTCTTGTTGTCTGTCGATGAAGGTCACCCTCAGCTTCTAAAAACTGCCTGCAGTTCCTTACTATGTGAGCCTGCCATCATGGTTGCTTGCTTCATCAAGACTGCAAGGGATAGAGAGAATCCAGCAAGATGGGCCTTACCCTGTACACATAATCATGCATAACCTATCACCTTTGGTATATTCTATATGTCTAGAAGCAAGTTACAGGTCTGGCCCACAATCAAGGAGAGAGGTCATACAAAGGCTAGAACACCAATAGGCAGCAATTATGAGGCCCACACTGGTCATCCTAGAGTCTATCTTCCACACGTTTTTAAGAGGCTCACTCAGGTTACTGCAAGAACAGACTGTAGTGGACTGAGAAGGTGGAGAAAACTCCCACCTCACTTCGCTCTGCCACACCCCACCATACTTTTTGTTTGTAAATGATCTCAAAATTACAGGGGAATTTTAAGAAAAGCACAAAGAGACTCTGTATACCCTTAAAATAGATTTATCAACTAACATTTTGTCACATTTGCTTTATCGTTCTCATTCTCTTTCTCCTTCCCATTATCCATCAATTTATATTTTTCTGAACCTTTTGAGAGCTTTACACTTAATGTCTCTTTCTTCCTAAATATTTGTTTGTATTTTCTGAGAAGAAAGACATTATCTTACACAACCAGAAGAAATTTCCAATATTGGAGAATTTAGCTTTAAATCAATAGATACATATGATTCACATTACATTCATCATATGTAATCCACCATATGTAATAGGATCCATCATAACAATGGATCAATACTGGATTTGATCTGATTGGGCAGAAGCATGTCTTCATCTGGAGATTAAGTCTGGTTTTAGGTAGTATGTATGGGTGCCAAGTTGACAAGGAGTGGAATGTGATGGCTTGTCTTATGTGTAAACTGGACTAGGCTATACTACTCAGTTATTGGATCAAACACTAATCTAGGGTGTTGCTGTGAAGGTATTTTGTAGATGTGCTCAACATCTACAATCAGTTGACTTTAAGCAAAGGATTCTATTTTGATTAAGTGGTTGGGCCTTATCCAATTAGTTGAAAGGCCTTAAGAGGAAAAGTAAGGTTTCCCTGAGGAAGAAATTCAGCCTCAAGACTGCAGCATTAGTTCTGGCTACAGAGTTTCCAGCCTGTCCTCTACCCTATGGATTTTGGACTTGCCAGGCCCCACAACTGCATAAGTCAATTCCTTGAAATAAATCTCATATATATATAATGTATTTTATTTATATATTGCATGTACATATATATACACACATAAATGTTTATAAATATGTAAATTCCACTAGTTCTCTGCAGAACTGACTCATATCACACACTCTTCATTCCTTTGACGTAATTAACATCTTGTCACTATACTTCTCTCTCATCTTAAAAAAAATTAAATCCCTTAAGGGCATTTTCTGCACTCTCTGATTCCATTTCTCAATGTGTATGCACACTGAAATCATGAAAAGTGCGTTTTACGGGCTTCCCTCGCGGCACAGTGGTTGAGAGTCCGCCTGCCGATGCAGGGGACACGGGTTCGTGCCCCGGTCCGGGAGGATCCCACATGCCGCGGAGCGGCTGGGCCCGTGAGCCATGGCCGCTGGGCCTGCGCGTCCGGAGCCTGTGCTCCGCAACGGGAGAGGCCACAACAGTGAGAGGCCCGCGTACCACAAAAAAAAAAAAAAAAAAAGTGCGTTTTACTCTTTCAGCTCCACAGTTATGAAAAAAAATCATCAATGGGGACTTCTAAAATTCCCTAATATATCTCTGGGTGGACATTAGAAGCTCTGACATGAGTCTGTTGGTTTCCTGTCATCAGCCACTTAGTGAAGTCAGGCTGGTCCAGTGTTCATGCTCTGATCATTTTCTTCTCCAGACTACACTCATTCCCTTGACAGTCTCATCTAGTCATGACTTGAAATAACAGTGTAAACTAACAACTCTCAAATTTATATATCCAAGCTTGAACTCTCTCCTAATGTTCAGTCATAGGTTGAAATGATTAAGTGACACATACTTTGTAGTCTCATAAACATTTCAAATTGACCATGCTTAAAACTGGAGTCTTGAGTTTCCCTCCAAGTCCCCTCCACATGTGGCTTCCCCATCCCAGGGGATGGAAAATCCATTCCTCAGGTGATCTAGGCCAACTACATATGAAGGAGGCTCTGGACCAAAGAAGACTCAGGAGGGTGCAGTAGACAAGTGTGCTGTGTATCAAGATGGGACTTCTGGTTTCCTCCTCAGGAGAATTTTTAAGCTACCTTTTTTTTTTTTTAAAAGACTTTTAAAAATATTTATTTATTTATTTTATTTTGTCTGCGCCAGGTCTTAGTTGCAGCATGTGGACTCTTAGTTGCAGCACGCATGTAAGATCTAGTTCCCTGACCAGGGACTGAACCCAGGCCCCCTGCATTGGGGGGCATTGGGGGGCAAAGGCATTGGGAGCACGGAGTCTTACCCACTGGGTAAGTGGGCCCAGTCTTACTCACTGGACCACCAGGGAAGCTACTTTATAAAAATCTGTTCCCCTAGAATGCTACCAAACCAAACTCGGGTTCATTCACTCCATGCATAGCAAAGCCAATCTATTGACACTGGGTTGTGGTGAAGGAAAGTATAGCATTTATTGCAGGGTGCCAAGCAAGGAGAACAGGCAGTTCATGCTCAAAAAGATCTGAACACCCTAATGGCTTCAGGAAAGGGTTTTTAAAGACTGTTAGGGGAGAGGGTCCTAGGATGCAAGATCAGCTCATGGACAATTTTCTGATCGGTTGGTGGTGAGGTAGCAGGGTGGTGTTTCAGGAATCTCACCATCAGTCTTCTGATTCCAACCAGCCTTGCTTCTGATGTGTTTGAGGTCAGCAGTTTCCACCTGGTGGGAGTCTGGGTTCTATAAAAACAACTTAAGAACATGCATCAGAGATTGTTAACTGTTTTCCTTAAGGAGAACTATGGTCTTGTGACCCCATCCCAAAGGTTGACTTATTGCTTTAGTTATTATCCCCTTCCCTCCTTGAATGCCTCTTCTTTGTTCCCATTGCTGCCCCTTAAATAATTAACTGTTTGAGCCCACTCTTTGGAACTGAGGGAGGCCTAGTCCGCTAAAGCTTTTTCCACAGACAAGAAGTAGGGGACGCAGAGAGGCTTGCGGGGGAGGGGTGGGAGGAGGCTCCACAGGGCCCTGCTAGGTTTCAAGAAGAGGCTCTTGGGGATTCCCTGGCAGTCCAGTGGTTAGGACTCCGTGCTTTCACTTCTGTGGATCCCGGTTGGGTCCCTCTTTGGAGACCTAAAAAAAAGAAGAGGATCTGGGAAGGCCTAAGGAGGGGAAGGGGGAAAAATCACTATGCGGGCTGCGAGCCTAGTCACAGCCCTACAGGCTTTGCACCGCCCTGGGCGACTGTCCCAGCATTCCAAGCCTCAATTTCCCCGAGGCACAGCATGGACGCTCTCGCCCCCACTGCCTAGTCCTCTCCACTTGAACCCACTGTTAAGAAACAAGTCTGGGCCGGCGCTCAGCTCCTCCTGTGGCTCTTAGGTGGAGGAAGACCCTCCCCTTACCCCTCCCTCCGCCCCACTCCCTCTCCTCCCTCCGCCCCACTCCCTCCCCCCAGTTAAGGCGCTCCTCACTTCTGCGGATCTAGGGGAGACTACATTACCCAGAGGTGTGCATTGTGCGTCTGAGGAGGTCGCTGGCCAATGACGGCCAGTCGTAGAGGCGTTTCCTGCGGCGCACGTACGTGGGCGGGACTTCCGGTTTCTCTCAGAGGGCGCCATTTGCCTTAGCCTTTCGCTTCTGGCTGGCTTTTAGGTTCCGAGAGCTGGCCTGCGTGGCTACTAGGGCATTTCGTGGGGACTGAGCAGGAAAGGGGGATGGGACTTCCTTTCGTGCCTTGGACCGGGCCGTGATTCCCTAAACGGCCGTGTGCACTGGTCGCCCGCCGGGCCATGGCCTGTCCGGGCCCTCAGCACCCGCCCTTCGTCCCCGCAGTTCCCGAGGGCGGCGCCAGGTCTGGTGCGCCTTTCTCTCGGAGAGCGGCTGTCAGCCGAGGTCGCCCGGCCAAGGCGGGGCGGAGGCGAGGAGCAGCAGGCCGCCCGGTGCTCGCCTCTCCCAGCGTGGCTGGAACGCAGGGCCCCATCATGGCGGCGGCGCCGACCCACAAGACACAGGTGAGTGGACGCTGGTTGCGGAGCTGCTTCTCTCCGAGGGCGGAGACGGTTCCGGAAGGGAGGCATCCCCTGGGTTTGTCTTCGCGGTCGTGTGGTCTGGCGTGTGGAGCTGCTTTACTACTTAATTTATCTTTGGTCCTAAAAGCTGTTGGGCCTCTGACACATGCTCAGTAAGTTGTGGGAAAAATGAAGTATCCTTCAGGGGTTTCCATCATAGTAAATCCCGAACTCCGCCATGTGCTGCAGGGATGTACCCTGCCCCCACCCCGCCCCCGCCTTTCTCCAACCGGTGGCCTTGGGAAATGGAGGGAGAGATAAGCGCATGGACAAAGCCAAGGTATATTGGTTGTTTCACAAGGCCCATGAGGGCCTGTGAGGTTGCCATGGTGCCTCCTAGATGTTAAGACGTGTCTTGGGAGGGCGAGGTCCTGTAGTCTGTTGTCGAATGTTCCACTCACCTTCAGCCAGGTCAGACGTTGTGGCCAGTTTCATGGCCAAAGCCAGTGTTATCTTTAGCCATTTGTGCTCTCTGGTCCTGAAGTATTCCTGGCGTAGGGCTAAGTGTTGTCAGGGTTCAGGAAGGAAGCGGCTAATGGTTCATTGTGGAACCTCCCCGGAGTCTGGGAGACCCAGGAGGGTGTGGGAAGCTGGTCCAGGCCCTGCCATTACCCAGGTAGTTCCACCCCTTCAGGGGTCTCTCCAGGGAGGTCAATGATGAAGGCTCTGCTTCTCTGTGCATGTTCACAGGAATATTTTCAGGCGTGATGAAATGGACTTAACAGCAAAAATTGGTGTAAATGCTTCACAACTTCGTCATTAGGTATTCATTTTGATGATGGAAGCGTGTCGGGTTACTTTATTAGACCGTGTATCAAGGTTAACTGTTAAAATCTTGCTCCTCGTTTGTAAGACACAAGACTCTTGGTGGATTTGGTGGAGCTCCCTTAGTCTCGGGTCATCGGCTGGCATGGAGATGTTTACCTCAGGGGCTGTGGGACAATTAATGAAAATCCCCAAGCACACCGAACATTGAATAATTTCTTTCTAAATCTCACAACTGATATTAGTGAAGTGGGAACGATTGTTGTATTGATCCAGAAACCAAGGCTCAGAGAGATGAAGTGATGTCTCCGAGGTAACACAGCTGGTAAGTGTCAGGTTTCAAGAGTTTGGATGTTAACAAGAGAGTGAAGAAAGAACTGGGAACTTTTAGTCACTTTAACCAGGAAGTGAAGCCCTCACCATGGGGCAGGCAGCTAGCAGGACCAGGGAGGCTCAGGTACTGTTGTTGTTACCATTATTGATACTGTTATTATCATTATTTATTCATTCCTCTGAGGTCCTACAGCCTCTCCTGTCTGCAGCTGACAGCCCACACATCACTTCCATTGTCTTGTGTGACTTTCCAGTGGCTCCGGCATAGGAGACTTCTTTCTTACACTACTGTATTATGTCCAAAACATTGTCCACTTCCACTTCAGCCCAGCCTAGAGCTTGGCCCTCAGGAGGTGCTAAGTGGTTAGGGTCTTGATCTCTCTGCACCTTTAACAGCCTTCCAGAAACAAGCTCTGATCCCATCCAACAGCCCCAGGGTCAGCACTACTACCTCTATTTGACAGGTGTCTGTGACTTTCGATGATGTGGCCGTGACTTTTACCCAGGAGGAGTGGAGGCAGCTGGACCCGGCTCAGAGGACCCTGTACCAGGAGGTGATGCTGGAAAACTGCAGGCTCTTGGTGTCTCTGGGTAAGGCCTTGCCACTCTGCCATGCAGAGGACCTGCTATCTCCTTGTCAGACATGCTCTGGCTCCATGCCCGGCTGATGGAGAAGCTTACCCTCTCCCCTACAGCTTCAGTCATTTTTGAGATTCATCTTTTCCTGCCTGCTATCTCTGTGTTTCTTTGAGCAAGAAACAGTTCCCCTTTGGCTCCTAAAAGGTGGTGGAAGGAAATGGGGGTGTTCTTCAGAACCCAAAGGCAGAATTTCCAGTTGGGCCACATGGGACTGAAGTAAGGACTGGGAACCACCAGGAGTATGCCGGCTTCTAGATCTCTTGTCCTGACTTCTCCCTCTAGCTTTGCTCATGTCTATTTTTTCAGAATGGCTTTTGTGTCTCAGCAAGTTTGTGGCAGGAGTGGCCACCCCAGTCCCTGCTCTCTGGGGCCCCAAGATACCTTGTTTTTACTTCTTTGCATACTTAACATTGTTTCTTTTTCTACTGCTGGGCTCTAGGGGGTTGTCCCTGAGGCAGGAGTGGCCACCTGAGCCCATACTTCCCTGAGCCTCCACCCCAGTGCCCAGCACAGACTGGCCTCTGTCTGAGGTTCTTGTTTCACATTCCAGACAGGGAGCTGACTGGGTGGGACTGGTTGGCTCACGTATCCCCTGCAACCCAGTCTACAGGGCTGTGAGTGATGGGATGGTCTCCAGGAAGAGGGTGAGGCAGGTGGGGCCTCGGGAGGTGTTTGCCTTCAGTGCCAACAGGTATTGTTCTAAACCACAGGATCTCGGTTATGGGGCTTTTCTCTTCTCCTGTGCCTTCATGATTGTCTCTTGTTCCCTGAGTCCTGGCCAAGATCCAAGAGAGAGAAGCTGAGACAGTTGTGCTTCTCAGTACTTGGTTTTGTCCCCAGGTGACATTTGGAAGTCTGCAGCCACATTTGACTGTCACACCTGGGGTGTGGGTGGTCCCGGCATCTAGCAGGTTAGAGTGCAGAGATGCTGCTTAGTACCTGAGGATGGACAAGACAGCCCCATTCAACAAAGGTTGATCCAGCCCACAAGGGCAAGAGAGCCAAGGTGGAGAAACAGCAGCCTGAGGATAATCACTTTAGACCTCTCAGTTTAAGGGAAAGGAGAGCTGTAAATCCAGGGCATAGGGTAAGACAGGCCTGTTTTTAGAGAATTGGGATTGTATTCTGTGTTAATGAGAAGAGGTTACACAAAATTAGGAAACGTTTGACATATTTAGATATTTTATAACAAAATTTTAAAAATAAGAAGGCCCATTATCTGACCCTGCTGACCCTTCACTCACCTCCCCACACTTTTCCCTGAGCTCAGTCTGCTCTGGTCATGCCAGCGTCTTGCTGTTTCCTGTGCACATACTTAACATACTTGCCTTGGGCCTCTCCACTTGCTGTTCTCTGTGCCTGGTGAGTGTGCTTGGGCATTTTGGCTTTTCTTTTCTTTTCTTTTCTTTTTTCTGATTTTTTTTTTTTTGCGGTACGCGGGCTTCTCACTGGTGTGGCCTTTCCCATTGTGGAGCACAGGCTCCCGATGTGCAGGCTCAGCGGCCATGGCTCACGGGCCCAGCTGCTCCGTGGCACATGGGATCCTCCCGGACCGGGGTACGAACCTGCGTCCCCTGCATCGGCAGGCGGACTCCCAACCACTGTGCCACCAGGGAAGCCCCTTTTTTCTGAATTTTAAAATTTAATTCTATATATATTTTTTATACAGCAGGTTCTTATTAGTTATCCATTTTATACATATTAATGTATATATGTCAATCTCAATCTCCCAATTCATCACACCACCACCAACGCCCCCCCCCCCCACCGCTTTCCCCCCTTGGTGTCCATACGTTTGTTCTCTACATCTGTGTCTCAGTTTCTGCCCTGCAAACCGGTTCATCTGTACCATTTTTCTACGTTCCACATATATACGTTAATATACGATATTTGTTTTTCTCTTTCTGACTTACTTCACTCAGTATGACAGTCTCTAGATCCCTCCGTGTCTCTGCAAATGACCTTTATTTTAAAGTATTTTATTTGATATGAGTATTGCTACTCCAGCTGTCTTTTCATTTCCATTTGCTTGTAATATCTTTTTCCATCCCCTCTTCAGTCTTATGTGTCCCTAGGTCTGAAGTGGGTCTCATAGACAGCATATATATGGGTCTTGTTTTTGTATCCATTCAGTGAGCCTCTGTCTTTTGGTTGGAGCATTTAACCCATTCACATTTAAGGTAATTATTGATGTGTATGTTCCTGTTACCATTTTCTTAATTGTTATGGGTTTGTTTTTGTAGGTCCTTTTCTTCTCTTGTGTTTCCCACTGAGTGAAGTTCCTTTAGCATTTGTTGTAGAGCTGGTTTGGTGGTGCTGAATTCTCTTAGCTTTTGCTTGTCTGTAAAGCTTTTGATTTCTCCTTGGAATCTGAATGAGATCCTTGCCAGGTAAAGTAACCTTGGTTGTAGGTTCTTCCCTTTTATCACTTTAAATATACTATGCCACTCCCTTTGGCTTGTAGAGTTTCTGCTGAGAAGTCAGCTGTTAACCTTATGGGAGTTCCCTTGTATGTTATTTGTTGTTTTTCTTTTGTTGCTTTCAATAATTTTCCTTTGTCTTTAATTTTTGTCAGTTTGATTACTATGGGTCTTGGCGTTTTTCTCCTTGGGTTTTATCCTGCCTGGGACTCTCTGCACTTCTTGGACTTGGGTGGCTATTTCCTTTCCTAGGTTAGGGAAGGTTTCGACTATAATCTCTTCAGATATTTTCTCGGGTCCTTTTTCCCTCTCTTCTCCTTCTGGGACCCCTATAATATGAATGTTATTGCATTTAATGTTGTCCCAGAGGTCTCTTAAGTCCTTTCATCTTTTTTCTTTCTTCTGTTCCGCAGCAGTGAATTCCACCATTCTGTCTTCCAGGTCACTTATCCGTTCTCCTGCCTCAGTTATTCTGCTATTGATTCCTTCTAGTGTATTCTGTATTTTAGTTATTTTATTGTTCATCTCTGTTTGTTCTTTAATTCTTCTAGGTCTTTGTTAAATATTTGTTGCATCTTTTCGAATTTTGCCTCCATTCTTTTTCCGAGGTCCTGCATCATCTTCACTGTCATTATTCTGAATTCTTTTTCTGGAAGGTTGCCTATCTCCACTTCATTTAGTTATTTTTCTGGGGTTTTATCTTCTTCCTTCATCTGGTACAAAGTCCTCTGCTTTTTCATTTTATCTTTCTGTGAATGTGGTTTTCCTTCCACAGGGTGCAGAATTGTATTTCTTCTTGCTTCTGCTGTCTGCCCTCTCCATTTTGGCTTTTTACATGGCTGCCCCTTCTCAGCCCAGTTGCCACCTCCTCACCAGCTGTGTTCTGACCACCAGACTTCATGGAGTGTCCACCCATCCCTCTCACTTTCTCTCATCATCCTATTTATAACCATAAAAGTGGTTCTCAACCAGAGATGATGTTGCTCCCCAGAGGAAACTCAGCAACATCTGGAGATAGTTTTGGTTATTACAATCTGCACGTGGATCCTACACCATCCTTATAATTCGCAGGATGGGCTCCTCCCCACCTTTCCAACAAAGAATTATCTTGACCTAAATTATCATGTCAGCTTGAGAAACCCAATTTCTGAGAGTGCAGGGACACTTGTTCAGCTGGCATTGTGATACAGCCTGATGTAACCATTCCATCATTTCTTCTCTTCCTGCCTCCTGAATGTGTTTGACGGGAAGTCTGGGTTTAGTGCTCCCTTCTAACATAGCTTCTCTGCCTTCCCCACATTCCCTACCCCTGCAACTGTTGCTACTTTCCCCTTGTCAACAGAGGCAGTAGCCTTAGGCCAGGAGCCCTGAGCAGCAGGCAGCTGAGCTCTCTGGAACTTAAGAACACTGTTTTGATTTCACTTCTGCATTTTTTTCATGGTGACCTGCCATCAACGGAAGTGACCCTGGGTTTCCCATTTATCAGAGTAATGCGGGATTCCCTTTTTGAAGAAATCTAAGAAAACATTTATTAAGTGGGTCACTTTTAATAAGCAATTGATAACTGTCACTGTGCAGGTACCCTGAGCCCTGACCAGGTGTCAGGACTGTTCAGGCACTATTCATGCTCCACTCATTGAAATTGTCACAGGGTCCCCACTGTATTAATTAGTATCTGTGAGATTTGAATATTTCCAACAGGCTTTGGGGCACTAAGGGTGTCCCTAATTGTCTGGAACCTGGATCTGCTTGAGTTAAGGCAGGAGGAATAGTGGCCTGGTGTGTGAGGTTTAAAGAGGTGGGCAAGGGTGTGGTTTTGGATTGTTTGGTTTGCACATGAAGGGTGTGCTCTGATATTTCACATCATATTAAGGAAACTTTGGGGGATAATAGTGGAGAGTTTTAGAAGGTATGGCATAAGTTGTCTTGTAGAGTATAGAAAACCATTTTGAGAATGAAAAAGAAGAACATAAGTAGAGATACAGGAAGTCCTTGCAGGCAGGCTCATAACTAAGTTTCCCATTTGTGTAGCATTAGCCAAGAAAATCGATATGTAATTTGGGGAGTGTTTAAGAGAATCTTTCAGGAGTTATAAGGTGTGCTAAAAGTATGGCTTTGTATATATACATGTGTGTGCATGTTAGTGTGGTATTTGTAAAAAATAAACAAACATGGGACTTCCTGGTGGCGCAGTGGTTAAGAACCTGCCTGCCAATGCAGGGAACACAGGTTCGAGCCTGGTCCGGGAAGATCCCACATGCTGAGGACCAGCTAAGCCCATGCACCACGACTACTGAGCCTGTGCTCTAGAGCCCGCGAGCCACAACTACTGAGCCCATGTGCCACAGCTACTGTAACGTGCGTGCCTAGTGCCCATGCTCTGCAACAAGAGAAGCCACTGCAATGAGAAGCCCATGCACCGCCATGGAGAGTAGCCCCCACTCGCTGCAATTAGAGAAAGCCCATGTGCAATGAAGACCCAGTGCAGCCACTAATTAATTAATTAACTAAAAAACAAACCAACAAAATCCT